TGATTATTACTTAGTCGACTAAGCCGGCTAAGCCGTTTTTTATTTTATCGACTTAGTCAGTCGATATTTAAGAACCGTCTACAAACACTATTGAGGATACTAAAGGGGTTTATTTCAAATATTCATTTCTTTTCAACCAAATCTCACGATTTTTAGGACCCCATATATCTTCTCCACGCTGGTATAAATTTTCCATCACATCTGAGTGACATATAAGTAATTTTTTATCCCATTCATTTTTGATGCTATCCCAATGTGCATCTACATAACTATCAAAGTCCTTTCTTGATTCAAATTTAAAGCCCTTAAATTGGAACGAACCATCGCCATGATATCTGATTCTATTCATGAATTCAAGAAATTCCCCTTCTGGCTTGAATTTTATGTCAATAGATCTTAAAATATCATCCACAAAATGCTGGCAGCTAAGTAAAAGCGAATAATGATGAGTTTGGTTATATTGAACACATTTCTCAGCAATGAGGTGCAATCTATTCTTAGTTATTTCTCCTAGGTAATAAATTGGTTTATATGAACAATATAAAGTAATCATAATTAATAAATGTATAATCACACCAATTACGGCTGCAATTGCAATCTTGGCTCCAATCGCTGCACCCATTACTCCAATTACCTCGAGACCAACTCCAGCTACGACTCCAATAGGTAGCAGCACTTTGGACAACTTAAATCCAGAATCTAATTTCTCTATTTTCTCGTAATTTAACCGCATATACGCAAGCATTTTTCTAAGATCTGGTTTTGGATACACAATACTAGGCCCTGCAAGACCATAGCCCCATTCTACTACAATTCCATCTATCTCCAAGCCGACATGAAACCCACCATAATTATAAAAGATACTACCAATTTTTCTGTAAATAATATTATCGTTATGCAATTTTTCAAAAAATAGATAAATACTATAATTCATGCTTTGCTCTTTATATTTAAGCGTATTTTGCCACATATTTCTAAATAAATTATTAGTTATTTCTTGATAAAATGATTTGAAGTCCCTCAATTGACATAACTCTAATACCAACATTTTAAACAATCCTTCATGGTTTTCCATCTTTATTGTAAGGAACTTCTCCAAAAAGAGATCTTTTTTCCCAAATATGTGAATAAGATGATGCTGACTATCAATCTCTAATTCTTGAAGTAAAGATGTATATGTATCATTGTTAAGAGAATCAAGTTTCTTTTTTATAACCTGATACCAGTTTTTAGATTCACAATTGCAAACTGAACCTGCATATGCTTCTGAACAATAAAATTTTGATTCTTTTGAAGACTTCTTTAATGAAGGTGAATCTGAATTCTTTGAGGAAGTTCTCTTGGAAGAATAAGCGCTTTTTGAAGAATAATTGCTCTTTGAAGAGGAAGAACCCATTGGCGTATAACCGAGGATTCAGTTAACTTTGTCAAGATCACTATTAAGTTCGATCAGACAAAGTCAAATTTACAGCCGATAATTTAGATATATTTGACAAAGTGATATAACTTTAATGTATAATTTTTTATAGAGAATCAGAATAACGGCGAACATGGTAGACACTGATAAATTAGACATTTTTGTGGCTTTTCTTTTTTTTTATGCACAAATGAACATTTGCATTTTGTAATGTCATGTTTGTAGGAAGTAATGGATATTATCTCTTAGAAATCAAGGTTAAGCGAGTCAATTACGTACATAGCAACATAGTATTACGTGATCGACAAAACTACCTCGGAATCTTCACAAAATTCAGTATAGTTAAACCTTTATTCTATAAGAGCAACCATTACTAAATATACACTATAGCTTAAATTAAACTTGGGACTTAAATCCTCTGTTCTGTACGCATTCATAAAATTTTGTAGACGATTTTATGCATGAACCTTCTATTAGCGTACGTACTTGGTTAAATTAAAATTCGGTCAATTAAACGTTCTGATCAGATATTCTCGGAAAGATAGACAATCACAAAATACGAGCGTGATGATCCGAAAAAGTAAATCACGTATATTAAAAAATCGAGCAAAAAACTAATTCTATAAGTGCATACTTACCTTTGGCTCCAATAGGAGGAAAAGTGTTGGCTGACACTTTTCTTATTACTTTCTTATATTTTATCAAAAAATGATTTTAATATATATATTTATTTATTTATTTAACTCCATCAATATATATGTTACCAAACTCAATTTTTATACTAAGCTTCAAATTTCCATTTTGAGAGTTGTATTTCCGGCGTACGACATACGTACGTACGTACGTACGTAGTCGTACGTGAGAAAACTGTACAAACGTATAATCCAATCAGCTTTAAGATTTTATCTTCGGTTTAATTATTAATAAGTTATACACTTCGTTTCATTACGTTCCTGTACAAACAAATTTATTTAGTAACTTCCAATCTCTAAGTAAAAAGATTTTAGTACGAAATTTCAGCCATAGGATGCAATTTTAATGTTAGGTATGTAGAGAATTTTTGAGAGACCACAGACCCATAATTTTTCACAACACGATATTATTTTTCACTTTTACAAAAATGCACCTATGGTGTTTTACCACCTATGTTGTATTATCTCAAAAACTGACTAATTAATTGATGTGAAGTGTTCTAAGTAAAAATGTTCTACGCCTCAA